TCACATAAACGTAGGTCTTTAATGCATGTTACTTCCTACTGAAAAATTAAAACAAATAAGTTTGCTATTATGTATAATCATTGCTCACAGTTAAAATTTTTAAAACCAAGGGATGTCATCTCATGCCGATGGGCCATATCATTTGTTATTCAGACCGGTACACTTCAGGGTTGTACTAATTTCTTGGTATATAAATTATATTTAGATAAGAATAATGTGTGTGTAAGACATAAATGAACAGAAATTCTAGGTAAGTTGAAAAATTGAACGAGTGGGTGAAAGAGCAGGGAGGGAGGAGGATTTGAAGGGCCAAAATAAGACCCAACAATCAACAATCAAGTTGACCTTTGGGACCCGATTTGGCCTGAGAGGGGACCAATATGGTCGGTAGCTGTCATGCTCCGTATGCTTCCATAACAGCGTACCATCTGAAACTAGCCTGTCTGTGTACTGGCACTATTTCATATTGCATTGGGTGGTATGTCAAACCATGTTTAAAACCTTCCCCAGTCAACACAAATACATGTATGCAATAGGTCAAACAGTTTAAGATTCCCCAGCAGCCTGACTATTGTTGTCTAGTGAAATCTTGCCATTTTTCAATCTGTTTGCCTGAGTAGTTTCTTCTCATCAGAATAATATATTACATAGTATAAGTATTGAATCTGGAAACACCGTTTCTGAGAATTAAATCTAGAATGCTGTCTTCCAACTATTTGTTCAGGAAGATGAGTTTTTTTTTATCCTCTAAAATTCAGGAGGTCAACAATGGCATAGAATAATGTCCTGAGATGACAAACACTACCATGTTTTTATTTGTAGCTCATCTTCCTTTTTGTCTTGACCTTGGCAGGAAACCAATTGAGCATTTCTTAAAAGCCATTGATAAAGTAACTCTCAAAGATATTACCACCATTACGGAAAAGATCATCTCTTCACCACTTACAATGGCATCTTGGGGTGATGGTATGTTAAAAAGATCAAAATGGACTTTGTTTCTTATCGTGTTACCACTCCATTCCTAATTACTTGTTACCTTTCTTGTAGTTATCCATGTTCCAAGCTATGAATCCGTCAGTGGAAAGTTCCACTCGAAGTGAATGGTTTCCCACCATCAGTGAGACTTTTGACAATTTTGAAGCTGCAGATAGGAAATATGGACAATATATGGGCATTCCAAGTTTACGTTAAAGTTTATCACCTGTGTACCAATAAATTTGCTTGCAAATTGCCATCATCACTTGTCTTCAGCCTCATCTTGTTAACTTTGTGAAAAACACAAAGGCTGAGTTTATTTCCCATTGTTCCAATTTTGTGGCCGCTTGTCATTTGGCCACGCTGCTAAAAGGTGAACTTCGATTGTTCTTTTTTTTTTTCTGAATATCAATCTGTTCAATTTGTTCAGTCCCGTGAAACCTTTGATTAAGTTTACTGATTTAATTATTTATTATACTTACTTATATTCTAAGTTAAACATATTTTCGATATTGGTTTCATTGAATAAATTTTTGTATCATTTCTTCATTTTGAAAGTATTAATTCATTTCTTTTTTTTCTTTTCTTCCTCTTTTGGTGTTTCGACAATTCTAACAGTTGATATTAGAGAAGTTTTCTTAATAGGACGGGCTGCACATGAATTAGGATTTTTTTTATTTTTATGAATTTTGATTTATGAAATGTTATTGAATGTGGTTTTCAAAAATTCTGTAGATTAATGAAATGATTTAAAGAAAAAAAATATTATTTTTAAATACTAAAGCTATGAACATTTTGTTTTATACTTTAGATAAGAATGAGTTTAATCATGTTTTTATGTGAAATTTTATATGATATTTGACACATTTTAAGTTAGTTACGAAAGGTATAAGTAAAGTTAAAGAATCTAAAATTAATCTCTTGGTATAAAGTTATGAATAAAGTCAAGTGATAATTATTTAGATAATTATTTAGAGTACACTCATTTTATGTATGTTGTTAATTCTTTGAGCTCTTGATAAATATTTTATTAATAAAATTTTAAGATCTTTTTCAAAAAGTTGGGAACTAGAACTATAATTGAGGAAGAACTTGAATAATTTTTCTCTTGAAGAATTTATAGAATCATTAATGACTTGCAAGATACATAATGAATATAAAAATAATCTTTCTACGACCAGTAAGGATATGACACTTAGATCACTTGAGTGAAAGCTTAAGTGATGAGGATGACATGACACTCCTTGTAAATTAAATATATTTTTGATGTTGGTTTCATTCAATAAATTTTTGTATTATTTCATCATTTCAAAAGTATTAATTCACTCCGTTCCTCTTTCCTTTTCCTCTTTTGGTGTTTTGATGATTCTAATAATATTGGAATCAAGTTCTCTCAATTGGTTTAACATCTAAGAGAGATTATATTATTTTCTTTGGCAATTAAGATGGCCATTTTATCACTCATCCTCTTATGGTAGGAACACACGAATTAGGATTTTTTTTTATTTTTATGGATTTTGATTTA